ATCTAGAGATTTAATGAATTTAATTTGATTTAAATTCTACTTAATTGTACCTTACTTATATTCCATTTTTAACTTGATATATGGTATGGCCATGACTCAGTCCTTGTTATATATTAATTTTGGATTATTTGAACAACTTTTGAAATCTAGAGATTTAATTAATTTGTATTAATTAAATTCCACATGATGCTATCTTGCTCACTTTGTGAAATTGTTGTGATATTTGCAATCACCATGGAATGGGCATTCACGTATATTAATTTGAGAATATTTGGACAACTTTGATTTCCAGATAAATTAATTAATTAGATTAATTAATTTCTACTTAGTGTTCTAATGATTTGGACTTGTATTTCATGGGATTTTGCCTATTTATTATGTATCATGACTTGTTGCAACTTAGTTCCATTAATGTAGTTAATGAACTTGCACCTTTACATTATAATGATTTAATTGTTCAAGAGTTGTTAAACAAATAATTAAATCATTAATCTTATGCTAGAGGTATATTTATAACAATGGACTCCATGTGATATATATCTTGGTTGTAGTCTATATAGATGCACATTATGATTTCTTGACATTTCACATGCCATCATAGTTGAGAATCTAGGGCATGACTTGTGTGTTTCAAAATCTTGGTTGTGCATGGAATGTGGTTTAATGCATTACTTGTATCTTGATACACTCTTGGTTGCACAACTTGTTAATTTTGGAACTTGGGATATCAATTAAGAATTGACATGGCTAGGACTTGGTTCTAGTACGGGAGATAGAGAGCTCCCTACATTATAATGCGCATTAGGGGAAGGTACCCATGGCTTAGTAGCCCTAAAGTGATCCCAAGAGTACGATTTTAATCCGGGCGATATCCGAGTATCCACATTAGTTGATTTCACTCTTTAAATTTCAAGTTGCTATTCCTTGAAGATTTAAAACTTGTCATGTTATGTGAAATGCTCCAATCTTGTTTATTTGCATAGATATTATGCATTATCCTTGATATCATGTATTCTTCTTGTCGTGTTAATTGGAATGTTCCAATCATATTAATTGCGTTGATAATGTGATTCATGTTAATTTATAAACTTATCACGTTCTTTGGATTATCCCAACCTTGTTGCATTGCATAGATTTTATGCTTCATCTTTGATTTCACTCTTTAAATTTCAAGTGTTGCATTCTTTGAAGATTTAAGAAACTTTTCGTGTTATATGAAATGTTCTAACCTTATTTAATTGCATAGATATTATACATTATCCTTGATTTCACGCCTTGTTATTGTTGTGTTAATTGAATTATTTCAATCTTGTTAATTTTCTTAGTTATCTTGTTTCATGTTGCTGCTGTCGTGACTTAGGAATGATCCTATACATGTAACTAGACTTGGTTTCTAGTTGGCATGGACCACATATAATGATTTATATTAACATGTAAAATCTTTAAACCCTTAGATTTCAAGTGCTATCTCTTGAAGATCTAAGAACCTTATCGTGTTATATGGAGTATTTCCTACCTCGTTAATTGCATAGACATTATGCTTATTTCGTGTATTTAGATCTCATTCAGTATACTTGAAACTGTGCACCGTATCTAGAATTCCAATTAGTATACTCATGTCTTGTATACTTGCTTTGTGTGTTTCCGATCTCGTTTAACATACCTGTGTTTTATATACTTACCTCGCATGTTTTCATCTTTGTTTAGTACACTTGTAACTGGTATGCTTGCATGTCATGTATCTCATTTCAATTGTATGAGTAGCTTAGGATGATCCTTGAGTCTCACTTTAACATAGATGTTAGGTGGCATGATCCTTTTGAATTGTTTCAAGAACGTAAAAATCTATGAAGAAATCGAGTTTATGCATGCTCATTCCTTACGAGTAAACTTGTTTACTCACCCCGAAGTTACTAGGGGTTTTGTTCAGGTACGAAGATTTGGTTCGTGATGTTCATCATTACTTGGATGATTGTAGACTTGAATGTTTTAATTCTTGTAATGGTTGGCTTGAAATGCCACTTGTAGTCTTATTTGTAAAATGTGTATATTTGATTCCATATATGTAATGTGTACATAAGTATACCTTTTGTATTGTATTTGACATGTATGAGATGAAGCCGGAGGCCAATAACATGTATCTTGTATCCTATGTAACTTTTAAACTTCATGAAATATTATGAAAATATTGAAAAATGTCAAGTCATTGTCTCACCATGGTTGCATTGGGTGTGGGAATTCTATTTTTATTCTTTCATAGGGTTTCATTAATCATGTATGAAGTGTGGCTAAGGGCCAAACGGTCATTTGACTCAATTTTATATTTTTGGATTTCACGTTTTTCATTTCAAGTTCATTTTCACCTTTTTGGCCATTGGGGGGTGATAAACGCCGAATATTGTATATTCAAGCGCCCTAAATTGCATTAGTAAAGTCCGTTGTATGTTAATTTATGTAGATTATCTTCATTTCTATGTTTTTATGCATTTTCAGGTTCCTTGGCCCAAAAGGAGCAAAAATAAGGTGTTGTGGATTTTTTATCAACAATGTGCTCAAAAGCTGAATTTCAGGCAGCAGTGGAACTCGATTTTGATTGCCACTTTTGACCCAGAAAGCTCGAGATCTGGACTTCCATTATAAAATGGCATATTTAGAGCTCTGAATTAGCTTTCTAAATCTTCAAACGGTTTGTCATTCGGAGCTCGGAGCAGAGAGTTATGGCCTTGTTACCAGAGGTGCGCAGAACTGCCTGGCAGCAATGAAATTCTGCCTTGATCTTCATTTTCGACCAACCATCCTTGAGAATTGGATCTCCACCAAAACATGAAGTATTTAAAGCTCTGAATTAGCTTTCCAAATCTTCAAACGGTTCGTCATTTGGAGTTCGGAGCGCAAAGTTATGGCCATTTCATCAAAGTAGGTCCAGGCAGAGCAAATGGAAAATAGGCATTCTGCCCAATTTTCGAGTGCTTGAGGCCCAAATTCGAGCACTCGAATTTAGGGCAGTTTGTCTCCGAAAAATCACTATTTCAGCCACTTGTTTCTTGGTTTCTTCATTTTCTGATTTCCTTCTTTATGAGGTGGTTGGAGATGTTCCTAGGGGGGGGAGAGAGAGCCTAGTTTGGTGGTAAATAAGAGGGATAAGAGCCACACATCTCCGAAGGTAGTTTGGATCAGATTTTGGGGAGAGAAGAGAGCAAGGAGATAGAGTTCTTCAAGCTTGAAAAAGGGAGCACGAAAATGGAGGAGGTCTTCAAGCTTCTTCCTTCTTCCATTGCTCCTATGGGTAACTAAATCTTCTCTAGGGAGGTGATGAAGCCCTTCCCTTGTAAGCATGTTCTAGTGTAGATTTTACTTTTGGGATTTCAATGTATTATTGTTGGTGATTTATGATCTAGAGCATCATATGTGTTGTAATGAATTCTAATGTCTATACATGATTATTTTGAGCTATTCATCTTGTCTTAGATGGTTTCTCTTCCTAATCATATTGCTTGCATTTCCATAGTGACAATGGAAGTTAGATCATGGAATGGTTTTAATGGCATGGAGTTTGAGAACTTTGATAAATCATTGCTTAGGATGCCCTTTGATGGTTTATACTTGATTCTTAACTTTGTGTGCTCTCATCATTTAATTAAAGGCTTGATAATATTTGGCTTAGGGAGCATGTTGAAGACTACACCCTAGTTTAGGTAGCTCAAGCATGTGAATCTTTGTGATGGATTTCAATCTAGAATGTGTATAGGGTTGGAGCGGATTCATTTCCCTGGTTTTTCTCTACTTGTATTTCATCTCTTTTTAATTCTTGCAAGTTTCTAATTTATGCAATTTCAATATTATTAGCTTAAGTGACAAACAACAAAACCTTTATAAACCCTTCATCATTCTAGAAAGATTCTAGACACTAAGGTTGCCGTAAGACTAGCGCAGTCCCAGTGGTTCGACTTACCCGACCAATAACCCTATTTTACAATGATTCGTACTATTGCGAAGAGGGTTGATTTATAATTGATTTCAACCGTCGATCAGGGGGTCGGATTTTGCGTCGACGGTATTTTTAAGTCATGGACCATTGTAATGCATCATAATAGGTAAGTTACGTTTGTGTACATGATCGTTTTTTAAAAAAAAAAAAAACCTCATTCTTAGTGTTTTAAGCTTCCTCTGGACTCATTTTGCATTTTTATTGCATAATCCAGTTTAAGGGCATTCTGAGTTTTCCTTCGAGAAATAAATTCTGGTCTTCATATGGTCACTTACAAAACGTGATTTTAGGAGGGTTTCTTCTTCGTGTTTTTCCAGAAAATGTCATCTTGGTGCTGAAAATCCATCACAAAGTTCAACTCCCAGTTTTTCATTTAGTAGCTTTTTGACACTTATGACCTGATTTCATGGAGGGATATTTTGGACATTTCACAGCGAGTTTTTTTTCATTTTCTTCCAAGTTGTCGAGTAAAAAACTCAATTTTGAGAGGAGTTTTTTCTTTGTGTTTTTCCAAAAAATATTATCTGGACCCTCAAAAACTCATTTTTTCCCGAAAAACCCCTACTGTCAGCTTTTTACTGACTTTTAATACGAGTGTGCGAACGGTAGATTTCTCGTAATCGGTTAAATGACTTAGGGCAGCGTGGCGGTCATGATTTTTTGCCATCTAACCGGTTAAGAAGGCCTTGTAACCGGTTAAATGCTGTTGGGTTGGCTCTTTGCCCTTTTTCTTCCATCAGTCATATCACCTTCGTCCGGACTCCAGTGAACTTTTTTTTGAACTTGACTAATTTTTCATCGTCTATCCAATGGTGTGCTCGGTAGCACCCATTTTCATTTTGAAAATAATCATTTTACCTCTAGGTTCATTCTTGTCCCTTTTTGAAATGTCGTTTCCGCATTTGTTTTCTTTGGGTTCCGTGATCTCATTGAGGTTCACATTAGTGTCTTAGGGATGTGTTGTGTCTCTTAAGACCATTGTTTTATCTTTTGCTTCCACACTTCGAATCCGTTACCAGGTCAACTTTCGGGTCATCACTGACGCACCGAATTGAATAAAAACTCGGGTCATTACAATATCAGTACGAACCAAATACAACGCTTAGGATGCCAAATTGCATCCCAAAATTTTTAAAAGAATAAAATCACTTAACTAACTAACAAAAAAGTTATAAGAATGATTATTATGAAACTGAACCACTAGACACCATCTCACCACCATCTTCACCACCATACTGATAACTTTCACACACTTCGAGTAGAATTTCCCTACATGGGACAACAGCCCCAAGCTTGATGCAAGCAAGGAAAGCACCAGAAAGCTTCCGATGAAGACTGTAGGCCTCATCAGGTGGTGGCGTTAGCCTATGCCTCAACATGGTTGCCCCAAGGTTTGAAATGCTTTGAGTAATATTGGTGGAGCGAAAGTCATACCCACCAGGTTTTGAGAAAGGCAATCCCACAACAAATCCAGCCTGTACATGAGCATCTAACATCATCTCCGACTCCATTCCCGTGAGGAAGCCAAGTCTCCGTGACATTGAAATTACTGTTCCTCTGTCACTATTTGCACATGCAAGAACCTGATCAAACAACAGATGCAAGTCTCAGTAAATTAGCTTAGGACTAGAGAAGGTTCAAAGGTCCAGCAGATTGCAACTTTGACAAATTTTTTAATTATAGAATTTGAATAATCATTTCCTTCACCATATTGTGAGCCAACGCCTTTCTAAAGAATATCTTTAAAGGAAATTACTCAAGCCAGTGTAGTCCAATGGAAATTTTGACCAATTCCGAATATTTTGGATCAAATAAAACAGACGAGTCAGTTCAATTGTCGCTGGTGACGAAATAAATCCATGACCACTGAGAATTTAATTTTACCAAACCAGAGAGCACATCTAGCCACTCAAAATCTGTGAACTGTACTTTACGTGTAAGCAAGAGACCACTGATAAAAGACATAATATTTAAAAGTTTCGTGCAAAAACGATTTACATAAATTAGTATAGCTGATTAAGTTACCTACTAGCAAGGTGCAATCTTTATAGGAAATCTATTTAACTCTTTCTCTTGCTCTCTCTCCCCCCTAATTTCACGAGTCAGACCAACAGAATATAATCCCATTGAATTTAATCAAAAATAAAATTTCAGACCTGTCCTAAATCAACTTTGATTTTTGGTTAAACCCTCAAAATTTACTATTAAACTTTGATCATACTCGATCAAAAATAGGAGTAAACAAAATCAGAGGCAAAGTAAAGAGAATTCACCATTCTTAAATAATCATCAACAAAGCTTTTAGGGTAATCCCGAGCTGCTCCAAAGTCAATGAGATTCATTGATCTTGTGGCCTCATCATATAAAAAATTACTCCAATTAGGATCAGTCTGCATTGGATCAAGTAAGCCAAAAAAGATGAGACCAGAAATACATGAAGTAATACCATAGTGTTCCATGTACAGTAATATTAACTAAAAAAATTACAGAGGTCTACTACACTAGTTCCAATGATATGTTAAAAAATTTGAGCAGTGAAAACTTGTTGAAGATGCAAATAGATCAGTTTGCTTAGAGCAATTCTTTGAAATAGACAAAGCATGTATTGACAAGAACTGTCAAAATCTCATCCTAGAGGGCCAAGCCCTACCCACTCCACCCAAAGTCAACTAATTTTAAGCGAGTACTTACTAAAATAGCTTCACTTAAGGTTTGGTAAGTTAGGCACCACATACATTAACCCAATTAAAATTGTTCTTATTCTTTCTATTTATTTCCCCATGATCAGAGACGTCCACATCCAATGTGGCATTTAACTCTCTGCCCACAATTTGTTGGATAATCCATCCTTACATGACATCTTCTTGAAATGTTAACCAGGAGCATCTTAAAGTCATTATATTCATCAGTTTTCAAATTTTTGTCATTAAACAACTAGATGAGCAAAGAGACAAATTGAGAAATTAACGTTGAGATCCGCAACGCAAATTCTGATAAATAGAATAGCAAACCCTGCAACTAAGAGGGGAAAGATTTTCAAAGAGAAAACTACACTTAAGTAGAATTAGGAGCCCTAAATAACAAATAAGTCTTATTATAAAAGTTGATTTTTCAATTTGGTTGAGTTAAGCAAAATAATTACATATGCATTGAATTTTTTTTGTTTAGGTCCAAAATACCCTCCAAACTCTTATTTCAAAATACCAAAATATCCTTCCTAAATCAAATAATTCTTTCATTCAAGAAATTTAAAAAAACAAGATTTTCCAGTTGACTTTCAACTTGAAGGGCATTTGCATGTGGTGTATATATTACCAAAAATAAATAAAATAAAAAACAACACACACACATATATATACATATAAAGAAAAAAAAAAAAAAAAATTGTGCACTTCACTTTAGTCACATCTCCTAATCTATATCAGTTCAAAGCTGCAAATTTCAATTTAGAAATATACAAATAATTCAGTGGAAATTCATTATATATATAGAATTTTTTTTCTGTAAGTGGAAATTCATTATATATATATATATATATAGGGAAAAAAAATTGTGCACATAACTTTAACCATATCTCCTATTTCATACCAATATAAACGTGCAAATGTGAAAACTTTCCTGTGCTAAGAAGAAAATATATATATATATATATATACATATATACATACATATAGTACATGCACGCGCAAAGAGAGGGAGATCATGAAAAAACTAAATAGTTGCTTTCATTTTTTAATATATTGAATCTTTTTAATTGTTTGTATTAAGTTCTCATATATATATTTATATGTATGTATGAAAGTTGCAGTAGTATGGTTCAAAGGGAAAGATCTTGTTTTCCTAAATTTTTTAAGTAAAGAAATTATTTCAAGAAAGTTTTTGATTTTAGGGGAATAATTTAGTATTTTGGAATAAGAGCTAGGAGGGTATTTTGGCCCTGAACAATTATTATTATTTATTTTTTTTTGATAAGTAATAATTGAATTAAAAAGGCATTCATTAGGGGAACGCATCCTTTATACAAAAGTGGAACCGGAGTTTAAGGCCCCAAAGAAGCCAAAAAAATAATTAAATCTTCGGAAGAGGAACAAGACTTCCTTTTCACATAACTAAAAAGAGAGCGTATGATATGGAGTTTTAGAATCGCCGTGGACGATTCTTTCCCTTCGAACATTCTACTATTCCTCTCCTTCCAAATGCACTACCAAATACAATGTGGTACAACTCTTCAATAATCGCGAACAGCACTACGCATGGGACATCCTCTCCAAATACGAATCAAATCCTTAGGATAACGAGGCATAACTCAACGCATACCAAACAGACAAAAAATAAGATTCCAACAATCCCTCGCCACAGGACAATGCATGAGAATATGAGCAACTTACTCACCATCTTGTTTGCAAAGGCAACACCAAGACAATTACCCCTTTTCCTTAGATTATCAATCGTCAGTATCTTACCCCATACAGCGGTCCAAATAAAGAATGCCACCCTAATTGGAGCCATAGAACGCCATATAGTCTTCCACAAAAAATCAACGATATCAAAATCAGACAGACATAAGAATAAAGATCGAACTTCGAAGCGACCATGGGAAGAGGGAATCCATGTCATATCATCACAACCACTACCAACTGTCTCCCGTCGATACAACAGATCTAGAAAAACACATACCTTATCCACCTCCCAATCCTGAAAAGAGCGTCGAAATTGCACGTCCCACGTAATCCCACTACTATCAAGCCGATAACAGTCTGTTACGTAGGCATGTCTATCAACTGCAACACTGTAGGTCTCCATACCAAAGATCCTCCCAAAAGCATACACACCTGCCATCACGAACTTTGAATCTGACATGAGTGGAAAAAGCATCACATCCCTTCCGAATGAATTTCCACCCTCCTACTCCTCCCACGAGAGAGACCGGACTAGTAGACCAACCACCACTCTCTTCCCCATATTGGCATGAAACAAGCCTTCGTCAAGGGCGAAGTCTTTACCTCTCGTACCTCCAAATCCATTTTCCCAAAAGAGCTTGGTTAAAGGGGACTAGTCTTCTGATACCAAGACCACCAAACTTCATTGGCTTGCAGACTTGTTCCCAATTGACAAGGTGATACTTAAATTCTTCTCCTCTTCCGCCCCAAAGGAAATCCCTTTGCATTTTTTTAACCCTAGCAGCAACAGAGCATGGAATTTGGAACATAGATAAAAAAAGTAAGTGGGAAGGCTCAATAAAGTGCTCTTTATAAGTGTAACTTTCCCCCCCTTAGACAAGTATTGCTTTTTCCATCCTGCCAATCTCTTCGCATACCTATCAATCACAGGATCCCAACTCCCCACCATTCTAGAGGAAACCCCTAAAGGCAAGCCCAAATAGGGAATTGGAAAAGAACTCACCCTACACCCAAGGGCTGCCGCTAAAGATGAGATATCCTGAACATCTCCAACCGGAACAAGCACACTTTTAGCCACATTAACCTTCAGACCGGAGACAGCCTAAAAACAGGCCAAGATACACCTCAAATATCTAAGCTGAGACACATCAGCATCACAGAAAACCAGGGTATCATCCGCAAAAAGTAAATAAGAGACCTCCATCTAATGGTCATGATCTCTTCCCACCATAAAGCCCTTAATTAGATCAAGATCTTCTGCCCTTCGCATAAGTCGGCTTAATCCCTCCATAACAATAAGAAAAAGGAAAGATGACAGGGGATCTCCTTCTCTTAAACCCCGAGAACACCCAAAGAAACCAGCAGGAGACCCATTCACGAGAACAGAGAACTTCCTCCATTTACTTCCAAACCCCATTCTCTGAAGCAAATAAAGCAGGAAATTCCAATTCACATGATCATACGCTTTCTCAATGTCAAGTTTGCATAAGACTCCGGGAACACCACTTCTCAATCTAGAATCCACACATTTGCTTGCAATAAGGATTGAATCAAGAATTTGCCGTTCTCCAACAAAAGCATTCTGGGAGTCCAATATAATCCCATCCATCACTCCCCTCATCCTAATAGCAAGAACCTCAGCCAAAAACTTATAAATACAACCCACTAAGCTGATGGGACAGAAGTCTTTAATGTCAGAAGCACCTCCCTTCTTAGGGATAAGAGCAATGAAAGTTGCATTTAGCGACTTTTCAAAGGCACCAGTAGAATAAAACTCTTGAAAAGTGCCCATCACATCGTTTTTCACAACCGCCCAACTTTCCATAAGAAACAGCATAATGAACCCATCTGGCCCTGGAGCTTTGTCCCCGTTACAACTTGATAAAGCCTTTAGAACTTCTTCTTCAGTGAAGGGAATCTCAAGCCCCTCCTTATCGATCTCAGAAATAGCCTCAAAATGAAGACCATCAAGTTTAGGTCTCTTAGCTAGCGGCTCGGTATAAAGCTTCTAATAAAAAGAAGCAATCCCATTTCGCATATCTTCCTCCCTCCACATCTCTACACCTTCCACCCGAATACGTCCTATATGATTACTTCTTTTATGAGCATTAGCGAGTCTGTGAAAAAATTTTGTATTACGATCACCCTCTTTTAGCCAAAGAGCCTGGGATTTTTGTCGCCATGATATCTCCACCATACAAGCAATCTCAGCCAGAGCTGCCTGACAAGAAGCTCTTCTAGAACGCAAAAACTCCACATCCCCACCCGCCTCTTCTAGGCGATCAATCTCATAAAAATCAGCAAGGACTCTATGCTTCCTCTATTCAAGATTCCCCAAAACATCTTTATTCCACTTCTTAAGATCGAATTTGAGAGCCTTCAACTTCGTGGTTAACATGAAGCTAGACGAGCCTGTAACGACGACTCCTTCCCACCAAAGCTGAACTTTCCCTTGGAAGTCCTCCGCTCTTAGCCACATATTCTCAAATCAAAACGGAGACTTTTGAGAACACAAACCTCCACAATCTAAAACCAGAGGAACATGATTAGATGTGACCCGTGCTAAAACTGCTTGAGCGACATCTGGGAATTTCTTTTCCCACTCCCTAGAAATTAAGAAACGATCTAGCCTTGAAAAAGTGACTGGGTCCCTACCATTTGACCATGTATAGGCTGCGCCTTCCATTGGTAGATCAATGAGAAGATGCCCGTCAATGAAATCAGAAAACTGATCCATTTCAGAAGACCTCCTTCCTCCTGTGGACCTCTCTAATGGGAATTTAACAAAATTGAAATCTCCACCCAAACACCAAAGGAAGAGATCACATTTCTTGAGCATGGTTTAGCGGCCGATCAATATCGACAACTGGTCCATAGACCCCAATGAAAAGCCATCTGAAACTGTCCTCTTCCAATTTGAACTTGCGAGACACTGAGAATCTCCCCACCTATACATCCAACCGAGACAACCATCTACAATCCCACATAAG